CCCCAGAACTACATCTCCCAATGGCCCTTTCCAGGCACAGTGTGTGGGCAGGCTGCTGGAAGTCAAGGCAGCAGCGTTGTCTTTTCTTACTCCCATTTACTAGGGATGATGAACAGAGCAGTTGAGGAGGTAAAAAGAAGATGCATATTACAGTGGTACCTCAGTTCACAAACTTTATTCATTCCACGATTCTGGTCGCAAACTGAAATGGTCGCGAACCGAATCAAATTTCCCCATAAGGTGGGCAAGTGTGCACAGGTCTGTCTGCTATCTCGACTAGAGGAAGCCACGACCACTTGTCAGAGCGGGGAAGATGGCCACGGTCATGTTCGTCACCCGATTTGGAGGAGTTCACGAACGGAAGCGAAATTTTGCCGAACTTCCTGTTCGCGAACCAAATTGTTCGCGGACAGAAGCGTTTGTGAACCGAGGTATTACTGTAGTAGCAGAGGAGGTGAGCTAAAAAGAGAACCTGTTTGCCCTGAATGGGCCAAGCAGCTTAGAACAACAATTTAGGAAGGACTACCAGCACTTACCTTGTACAACTGGTGGAAGCCAAATGCAATCCCAGCTAAAATAACTGCTATGGCTCCATATTCTCTCCAGCGTGAGCCAGGGGGACCTGTATGAAGGAAACAGAGACAGATATGTGAAATTGTATTTTAAGGACCACAGTGGTGATTCTGCTTCTGGAGACAGTGGAGTCAACAGCAATACACAAAAGGCATGTTAAGATTGGCCTCTCGTATATATTGACTTCTCAGATCTCCACAGCTGCTGCATATTTTCTCCATGTCAAAGGGAGGAATAAATAATAAAAAATGAATATGTTGCAAAGTGATAAACATTACCGTGAGAAAGCCCCAGTGGAAGCAGCCATTACCCGATTTGTGAGCCAGAAACCAACAGTAAAGCTAAATTTAACATCAATAGACGTGTATGAAAACCTAATAAACAGTTACTGCCCTGAACCTGGTATGTGGCATATGAATTGCAACGTCCATTGCAGTGTAATCATACGTTGCTTTAACACAATTTAAAGGGGACCTGAACTTTGGAAACTGTACCCAAAAAGGCAAGCAGGGGGCTAAGAACTAGTCACATGTATTGGCCTATAGGATCCCTGCAGCTGATCATTTCCCATTACCGACTTAGCAAGCATCTGTATGGTGGCAGCAATCTTGCTAGAGGAGCAGGGCTTTGCTTTCTCATGTCAGAGCTGCCCCCCAGATGACTGGTGATCTGATAACTAGTTGGGGAGTATTCAAAAAGAATCAAGGGAGGTGGAGAAAGGAGAGATATTAAAAAAAAAATGGATGAAGCATAAGCAGGGAAATCCTTGACTACATGTCCTCAGGTACAGCTTCCTCTCCAGTAAGGATGGGCTCGGGCGTGTTCGCAGCTCCACGTGCCGAGCCCGCCAGGAAGCTGGCAGCGTGCAGCGCCAATCCCATGTACTGAGACATTTTCCCGGTGTGCAGCTGCAGAGATCAGGAAACGTCTCAGCGCCTGTGGTTGGCGCTGCGCGCTGTCAGCTTCCTGGCGGGCTCGGCACGTGGAGCTGCGAACACGCCCGAGCCCATCCTTACTAGGAGAGCAGTAATGTGATCACCAAATCTCACTCCAAATCAGGTGAGACTAGAAGTCACATGAAGCAGTGCCTTAGATGGTCTCACACAGCAGATATGCAGCTATGAGGTTACTCAACAGGAGTGCTTAGGCACAAGAAGTGCGCTGCTGTTTTTTAAAGCAAATCCTGGACAAAAGGTAAATCTTTGAGGGTACTGCTTAGGCACAATTAACATCTAACAGATGTTCTCTATAAGACAGCAAATCTTTAATTTTGGAGTTCAAATCCACTTTAAAATGTGTCTTTTGTGTAGTGGTGTAACCCCCAACTGTACAAAAGCAGTCCCGTCCATTACCTGCCGAAGATATCAGTTGTCTTTCTTCTCCCCCGCCTCCCTCTCAGCCCCCATCTCTCTCTCACCCCGGCTCTCCCTGCCTCATTCTTATGTTCGTTTTTCTTTTTTAATTTTGCCACGAGACAGACTTGTGTCACTTAATGTAAAACGAGTGAGATGGCATTTCGGCTCTGAGGCTTTATAGACTTGCTGAACTTTTGTGAAAGATCATCCCAGTCCCGTTTCATTAATAATGAAAGGGAGGGGGCAATAAAAAAATCGCTCACTTCCAGAAGATGCCATAGACTGTGAAGCTTGGGGTTACACTCTTCTGCTAGCATTATTATTTTCCCCTTAACCCCTTAGATATTGGCAGGGGCTGCAAATTAGCTTATTTTGGACCCTGTCTGAGGGCCTCATATTTTTAGGGCTAATTAAGCACAGCAGAAAGACCCAAGTGGTTAATTGTTCCTCTGTAAAAAAACAGTCAGCCATAATGCAATTGGGTCGGGTCAGCAGGTGGTCTCCGGCATGTAGTGCAGAGGCCTCAGCACCCATAATTTCAAACCCCACACACATCTATGACAGCGATAGCAAAACCCAACTAGTGGGCTACCCAACCCACTATCCAAAACTGTAATATTCATTTTTGGACGACTGACTTTACAGAGAGTAACACTTCCCATGACCTCATACATTTTGTCGTGCTAAGCAAAACTTTGACAAAAAGTAATGGTTATACAAAAAAAACTTCACGCATGAAACCAAAACTGCAGATTTTTTGCATTTTTGTCCTTTTTTCTGCTAATAATAAAAAATATATACTTGCGGTATTTTAAAAAACAAAATCACTTAAGAAGGCCTCATATGTGCTAAAAAAATTTATAAATACAATGGAGTGGAAATCGTTTTGTTATGCAGAGAGGTCAAACGCTTTTGTTGAGTAAACTTCAGAATTTGGTCTGGTAATGGAGAGGATTACCCTCAGGACATGGAGGGGTTAATCAGATGGCAATCACATATTCTAAAGATAAAAAAAGAGCGCAGGAAACGTTTAATTCGGACTCTAAAATAGAAAAACCAGATAAATCTGAGCTAAAAAAGGCCCGAGAATGAGAACTGCAACCAAGTAAAAATCAAGAAAAATTATAATTCGGATCCGTCTTCCCTATTCTGGCTTTATGCAAAACAAACAAATAAAATACAGGGAAGGTTGTGCAATGGTAGTAACCAAATATTTGGGAGCATGTTAAGATAAATAAGAATCCAGGAAGTCGGATTGCCCTGTTCTCCATTATCCACCCTCATGAACAGATACAGAACAAAACACTAGTTTTTCTTGCTAGGTAAATGGAGTGGCACACCCAAAGGGTGTTGCTCCATGGAAACATGTCAAAAACAACTTAATTTAACCTCATCTTTGTGGCATTTTTCTTTGAAATATCTGATGGGATAAAAAGGATTGACAGAAAACAAAAACAAACAAAAAAGGTAATTTTTAAATCGGCACTTCCAGTTAAAGCCGAACTCCAGGCACAAATACTTTCATTTGCATATATCTCTAAATAGCTACGGTGGCTATACATCCACTTTGTGCACACCAAATGGCTTTACAAAAGGCCTTTTACCATGTAAAAGTAACAGTGACATCATCACCGTACTGTATATAGACTGTGCAGAGAGCAGAGCTGTGGGAGGGACCCAGCAGGCCCCTTCCACTACATGATGCCTGCAGAAAACTACAGAAGGGGGCAGAGACAAGACCAGTCACCCTGCACAAGGAGAGAGTGTACTATTGACCGGTCTTTATTACAGGAGGGGGCGGAGACAAGACCAGTCACCCTGCACAAGGAGAGAGAGCAGCAGTGACCGGTCTTTATTACAGGAGGGGGCAGAAACAAGACCAGTCATCCTGCACAAGGAGAGAGAGCAGCAGTGAGCGGCCTTTATTACAGGAGGGGGCGGAGACCAGACCAGTCACCCTGCACAAGGAGAGAGAGCAGCAGTGAGCGGCCTTTATTACAGGAAGCTCCTGCACAAAGGCAAAGTTCCACACTGAATTGTTGCACAGATCTGGAAGAAATACACAAAGGTCACCAAGATTTAAGGAAGAATGCACACGGCTCTTGCATTTTGGCAATTTTTGCTTATCCCAGCTTCAAACCAGAGGTATACCGGATATTGAGAAATCTGCTGTTTAAAGCAACCCCCTCAGGGGGTTATAAAATGTCTAAAAAGCAGTACCCTGTGAAGAAAACAGCTCCATGCTTACCTGTCTGTCGGACAGTTTGCAATAACTTTGCTCTGTAGCAGAGCTCCCGATACAAATTATATTTGACTTCTCGGGCTAGTCGAATAGTAGGTCCCCCCTGCTGAGTTCTGTGGTTTCTCCTGGTCACTACAGGACTCAATAGGGACATAGGGGTTGCTGGGGAAACCACCGCAGCGCGGGAGGGACATGCTCTTCCATACACCCGGAAGTGTGGGATAGGATCGGCAATGGAAGCTCTGCTACAAAGTTTCTGCAAATTAACTGACAGACAGGTAAGTATTTAGTTCAATCAATCATCAAAAAGGAAGAAACAAAAAAAAAAAGAAAGGATAGGGGGATAAGAGTGTATGGTTAGAACACACTGATAGACCAAACGAATAAGGTGTGAGCAGTGTGCAAAGCCATGTCCAGATACGCTTGGCGAGTACATAATGGTGGGAATTGTAGTTTGTTGGTAGAAGAGGTGTGGGGACCATGGGGATAAGGACTGGACAGGGAAAGGCAGAGGGAGTAGGGGGAAACCTTAGGTGCCTGATCCATCAGGATCAGTATGGCGTTCCTGGCAGACTCCCAGTACAGTTGCCTTGCAGAAGAGTAAAAAGTACCCTCACCTGAGATGTTTGATATCTGCGGGTTACGGCTGGTCAGGGGGCTTCTTCATGTAGAGGGATGCTACGAACCCGGGGCTTATAATATCCCTGTAAGTATCAGTGGTTTTAAAAACACCACGTGAGAGTGTATCGAGTCATATGGTCTCCACTAAAATATGGATCTGTTCTTCCATTTTTGATACAAAGTCTATGCGGCGAAACCAATTTCACATGACGGCCACAATGGTCGCCTTCCAGAGTCTTGGGATTACAGTGTCTTTGGTGTGTTAAGAAGGTGAAGGGGAGAGAATGCTTATAGGTTGTGAATGGAACCCCAGAGAGGCGAGGAAGGAATTAGGATCGCTCGCCATTTTGAGCAGAAAGATGGCCCACACGCCCCTTGCTCTTCGGTATAAATGACTTGTAAAGTCCCCTCTCCTGTTATAACATCAGCATTGTGATAGGAATACATACTGGAGTTGTTTCTGATAATACAATCAAAGCTGGCTTGAAAAAAATCCCTTTTATGTAGGGAGCGCTGACTTCCATCTGCCCATCAGTTCCAACAACTTCCTGGATTCCCGGTGTGCTTTGTGTTTCCCTGCTGCAGGATATGATGCAATACCAATTTCTATAGACTGCATATCCCATCATGCATTGCTTCCAGCAAGCAATGATAATGTTACCTTGTTCGGACATTGGGTTGTAGTTCAGAAGGCAGGGAGAGTTGTGACAGAACTTCTGTGATAGCGCTTAGGGAAATTTAATATAGAAATAGGTATTTATTTTTAGTTTTTGGCATTCGATACACTTTAAAGCAGTGGGAAGGAAGAGTTGTCTCTGAAATTCTACAGCTACCAATCAGATGCAGGGCTCGTTTCCACCAGACCGGAATGTCCCGTGCCCGGAACGCAAGGAATCGGATACATAAAGTCTACTTGTGTTCTGGAGTGGGAGGGGGCGTGGCAGCGCCATTCAAGTCAATGGCACTGCAGACACACATGCGCAATTTTTTTGCAATCCCACCGCACCGGTGGGCATTTTATTACCACGTATTCCTGTGCTGCCGATCGTACTGTGGGCGTGTCTGCAGTGCCACTGACTTGAATGGCGCTGCCACGCCCCCTCCCGCCCCAGAACGCAAGGGGCCTTTATGTATGCGATCCCTTGCGAACGCAAGGGATTGCATACATAAAGTATCCTTATGTTCTGGGACGGGGCGTGGCAGTGCCATTCACGGGCACGGGACATTGCGGTAGACGCGCGGTATGGTGGAAACAAGTCCTAAAGCCTGAGCTGGAATTTGATTGGTTAGGGATGAGTTTTCTGAGACAGTTCTTCCTTCAGACAGAACATCTTGAAGTGACAAGCGCAGATGTCCCTCACAAGATCCGCCATCATGCTGACTGATGCACCGGGGAACTAATCGCATGTCAAACACGAGATATTTTATGTAATAAATTACGGGCAAAAAGTAATTTCAGTCTCATTTATCAGCATTATTATCAGTCTTGTTTATCTGGATTAATCAACATTTTAACTCCATGTACCTCAAACCGCGACAATTTCAAGACACCCCCCCTCCCCCCGTCTTTCAAAAAGGCTGGGGGGTTGGGGGGGGGAGGGTTAAGCACGGTTGGTAATAAATTGCATAATTGTCAGTAAACAAGGAAAACGGCTATTTTTAAAAAAAAGTCATAAAACGGCTTCATAAATCTAGCCAGCCAAGGAAGGGGGGGACAGGATGGGACTAAAAAAAAACCCAAAACAAAAGGCTAGTTTTGTGACATGCCTAATACGGGCCTCGGGATTGGGTGAGGCCGTTGCCACGGCGACCGTGAAGCAGAATATTAATAACGAAGGCCTCACTCACTCACAATCTATGGGGTAATTACATTTACATTTTAATTTAGGAAAACACATCTATTATGATTTTCCCCCCCTCTTCCAAACAACAGCACTGATTTATAATTAATTAAGAGGGCCAGGATACGATATTTGACAGGGGGGGGGGTTATTGAATAACACAAGTCAGATAAGGAAGAAAAAAAAAGAGAAGAAAAACACTCAGGGAAAAAGGTCACAATTTAATGTTAAGGGAAGTTTGTAGCCGGTCATAAAAACTGCTCTTCCCACGGGTGTATTTTGGCTTTCTATTCAAAAAGGCTTCGCCGCCGCTGACTTTATACTAATTGTATCGTAGACTTGGAACAAAAGGGTTAGTTCACCCAAATTATTTTAGTTGTAGGTAGGTGCCTGTTAGGTGAATCACCTTACTGGCTTCTTACATCTTGCAAACACTACGGTAAGACTTCCCCCTATTGACAAATGAGCAAACAAAAAGTGAGAGCACCTTGTAATAGGACTGTGGCTGGTGGGCGGAGCTGGGAACACGGGAGCAAAGACCTCCTGGGCCACAGCAACATGTCATTAAAATATATAGCTTCCTGTAGACTGCTCTGTCCTTTATGACCTTGTACTGGACAGGAAGTTCAGGGGAGCTGAGCTGAGAGAGTTGGAGCAGTTCTGAAACATGCTGAGGGGAATTTTTCAAAACTGGAGCAGACAGAATCAGGTGTGCATGCTGACCAATCAGATTCTCTCTTTCATTTTCAAAGCTTAACTGAACAAACTGAAGGGAGAAACTGATTGGTTTTCTTGGGCAACTGCTCCAGATTTTGCCTGCTCCAGTTTTGATAAATGCCCCTCGATGACTGCAAGCGCTTGGGCCAAAAATATAAACAAATACTTTGCTGGGCAATGCCTATTTGTTTGATCTGAATTCATTATTGAAGAAAAGATTGATGGATGAATACTACTTTAAACTGCTTGTATTTAAAACAAAAAACACATTTAATAATGTTTTAATTCAAGAGGAATGACACCCTCATCTTAAAACTTAAAAAAAAAGGCACCTTTGGTAACGTTCAGTAATGGCAATCTACAAACAGATACTTCAGGATCCCCACACAGCTCCCTCCTCATGTATCAATGTCCCCTTGTTTTAGATTGTAAGCCCTCAGGGGCAGGGCCCTCCTTACCATCTCGTCTTGAATTGTATTGTGATGGTAATGTCTTCCTTATATTGTAAAGCGCTGCGCAAACTGTTGGCGCTATATAAATCCTGTATAATAATAATTCAAGATAATTGCCAGCTGTTTATTACTTGTATTCCATATTTTTCTTTTTCCTCCCCATTCTTCGCACAGTGGCCATTTTGCACTAAAGGACAGATTAATCCATCTCCCTTTACTTCCTGGAACTCTGCGTCGGCTTCCTGAAATATGTGACAGTGCACATCATCTCATGAGGGGAAAAAAAATGTCTGTCCACCCAAGATAAAATTTCCCAGGAAGGCACTGGTGAAGTAACCTTCCCACAATGCATTTGGAGGGCCAGGGCTACATCACCAGAAACCGGAGCTGGAAAAACAGTAATTATAAGTCAACGCAAAATATGTTTAAAAGGAGAACTATGAGGTGGGTGCTTTTCACTCACCTCATAGTTCTAGCCGACCTGTGACAATGAGACTGTCACAGGTCGGCTCGGTAGATCGGGAGGTGAGCGAACACATACCGTCGCTCGCTCACCTCTCGATCCTGTCACGGCTCTCTGCCGT